TGGGAGCAGACAGGCTTATCTTTAGTTACACGATTCCAACCACTGACCTTTCAATTAGTAGTCTAACACTTAACCCACTATACAACTTGGGATTCTAGATGACCAACAGATTATGTATTTTGTTAGACTGGCAGTCATATACATGTAGTATCGTTTGGAGCACTGCATGTGGAAGGCAAGACTATGGGAGAATCTTGCAAAGGCAGTGGGGGATTACAATATGAGGTCATCACATGTCTAGATTTTTGGGGGTAGGTGGGTAGGAGACAGTGAGATTGGCTCTGGATAGGGCAGGGTTCAGAGCTATTGTGCATAGCGTCAATATGAGTTGTAGTTGACTTGGTGGCACATAACAAAAACAGTTTTTAAAGCCTTAGGGAAAGAGAATATAGCCCTTGTGAAGAGGTCAGAGTAGTAGGAATAACAAATGCTGTATTGATTCTTGGACCTTACAAAATCCTGCTGAAGATCATCTAGAAATGACTTGGAACAGTACCTTAACAGAGAACTACTAGAAACACAAGCTGCGTTTAGAAGAGGTGAAAACATCTTTTTAAAGAGAAAAGCGAACTGGGGTAATGAGGTAGTGGGTAGGGAGGAAACTGTGCAACAATGAATGAATGGAAATCCAACTTTTCTGTGAATTTTCATTAAAATATCAGTTAAAAAATAGAAAAGATTGTGTCACTAGAGACATTATCACCCATGTCAGATGGTTCTTGGCAGAAAGCAATGAGTACCAGCAGGATATCTGAGTTTCACTGACTATGCAAAGGCACTTGACTGTGTGGATCACAACAAGTTTTGCCTAACCTTGAGGAAAATGGGAATCCCAGAACACTTGATTGTGCTTATGAGAAATCTATACTTGGACCAGGAAGCAGTCCTCAGAACAGAGCAGGGAAACACTGCATGGTTCAAAATCAGGAAGAGAGTGCATCAGGACTGCACTTTGTTTCCATAGTTTTTCAATCTGTATGCAGAATAGACCATTTGGCAGGGTGGGCTTTATGAGAAGGAATGTGGCATTAGGATTGGAGGAAGATTCATCAACAACCTACATTATGCAGATGATACAACCTTGCTTGCTGAAACTGAGTAGGATCTGAGGTGCTTGCTAAAGAAGGTCAAGGACTGTAGTCTTCAATATGGATTGAAGCTCAACCACATGAAGACATATATTCTCACCATTGGGCCAATTGGCAGCACCATGATAGATGGAGAAGAGATTGAAATCATTAACAATTACAACTTGCTTGGCTCCACAATCATCAATCTTGGCACCAGCATTCAGAAATTGAAAAAAAAAAACACAACAAATTGCATTAAGAAAATTTGCTGTCAGGGAACTTTCGAGAGACTAAAGCATGCTTGATGCAGGCCATGGTCTTTGCAATTACTTGCTATGCATCAAAGAGCTGGACAATGACTAAAAACAACAGAAGACTTGAGAAGAATTGATGCCTTTGAGTTGTGGTGCTGGAGAAGTCTTGAGCATACCATAGAGTGCCAAGAAAATGAAGAGGTCTGCCTTGGAGAAGGTGAAACCTAGTTCCTCCTTGGAAGCTAGGATTTTGAAGCTTCATCTCATATACTTTGGGCACGTGTCCAGGAGGGATCAATCCTTAGAGAAGGGCATGATGCTTGGAACAGTGGATTTACATCGCAGAGTTGAAGACCCCAGGTGAGATGGATTGATACAGTAACTAGGGTAATGGGGTAGGTGTGCTGGATTCAGACTGGCTCAGTACAGAGCAGGCTGCAGAGCTGTTGTACACAGGGTCGTACGAGTCACAGGTGACTTGACGGCATATAACAACAACAACAAATTGATTCAGATCCTTACATTGTTAAGTGCCAACTCTGGAGTTCTCTTGTTTATTCTAGACTCCAAAGAGTGATGTAGGAACTGCTTTATAGCTACTGAACTTCACGAACAAACAACACTATAAGAAGCTTTTACATTTAAGAAGAAAGAAATTTGTGAAAAGTAACATTTTATTTTTTAAAAATCTTCTTACTGGAAATTTTTCAGACCTCTTTTTATTTTGAATTAATAGTAATTCTATAATCACCTTCCTCTGACCAAGGCAAAAACAACCAGCCAAATACTTACTACCTAAAATCATCAGACTCAACCTCTTAATTTTCTTATCAGAGTTTATTGTTGTACATATTAGGTATCATGCTACTATTAGAATTATACCCAGGGTTTTTTTATTTTTTATTTTTAAAAAAACTCAGAGAAAAAAATGTTTCCAGTAATTTTCATTCAATGTGAATGACAAGAATATTACAGCTATAAACATTGAAATAACCATTTCATTTCTTCCTGAGGAAGTTTCATATTTTAAGTAATGAAAAGGGGGACTCTATACAAAGCTAGTTTTAAATAACATCATCTCTTATTCTTTTCGCATCTGTATTTATGTTACCATTAGAATAGCATAATAAGTAGCTGGAGTAGACAGTGTAAAAAGTATGTACATCTGTATTTATGTTGCCTTCAGAATAGCATAATAACCAGCTGCAGTAGTTAGAGTAGACATAAAAGACAATGTAGGAAGTATGTCCTCTAGAACTTGGTACTGTTTTCAGCACACACTGAGTGTTCAGAAAATTTTTCAAAGGTTGGCTGCTTTAGGGAGCATAATACATGTATTTGTGAGTCATTTTATTTTCATATAATCCCTTTCTTTCTCTTCTGTCATTACAGAAACACGCATTATACAAGCACCTGGTTTTTTACATCTCTCTCAAAGGGGGAGCAGTTCAGCTGATTGAGTTTACCTAAATAAAACTGTCATGGAGCTGCTTTGCTTGTAAGCGTAAATGCTCATCTCACCATTAAAAAAGTAAGTAAAAGTTTTTCTTTTGACAATAATAATATTGTTTAAATGATTACATGAGGCTGTGTACAACTGCTGCGGCCTATTGCTATGTTTGACGATCTTAAGCCAGTGTCCTTAAATGAGTAGGAATGAAAGGCTACTGTGATTTTCCTAGTAGCTTGGGCAAGTGCTGCTTCAAAAGACACAGCAATAAGAGTGAAGACTGAATTTACCGTACTTACCCAAATGACGTTGATTTTGCTTTTATAGCAAGAGTATTGGCTGATTTTCCCTCCAATTCTTTCTGCTAATTGTTTAGAAGTTATTGCATATGTTCAGGACATACAATTTTTCAAAGGAATTGAATTAATAATTATGAGTTTAAAATATTATAGCAACTGGAAGGATCTCATAATTATGAAATTATTTATAAGAATTTACATTTATACTTTATATAGAAAATGATAGTATTGGACTATACATTTTCTTTGTATGACTTAGTTTTTTCTCTCAATAATGTTTTATGCACATGTTTCTAATTATAGCAGTACATTTATTTACTAACATTTTATTTATGTGATTAGTATACATGAGTGATTAAGTTACTATTGACACTGGAAAGTTAAGGATGCCCTATTCTTTTCTGAGTATTAATCATCTATGGCATTTAAAACGCAAATATATTTCTATAACCATACTTTGTTCATCTTCATATTTTTTGTATTTTGTTGGTGATCCATAAATTTAACTAGGTCTTGTATTCCTTGACAGTAATGTATGAAATTGTCTCAAACTGGGACTTTGCTTGCTTCCTTTTTACTTGCTTTATATTAAAAATATCACTGCAAATATCTGATTATGAAGCATATATTAAACTTTTGTATTATAAATCTCTACACTACAGAGTTTCATTTTGAACTACTTGGAAAAAAAAGGTATTTTTTTTCCTAAGTAGTTCTGTACCTTGCTAAAACATCATGTAGGGGAATTATCCTTAGTTTTATTCAATAGGTTTTGTCTAGGGAACATTAAGAAAAACTATTCAACTGTTTTTGGTAATGACAAATACCTCAGATTCTATGCATGCATTTCTGTAGACTCAGTGACTACTGGAATAGATTTACACCTCACAGCAAGTGCACATAGACTTGTTAGTGATACATCTTTTAAACTTGTTGTGACTGAGTCACTTTCAACACATATCCACCCTACAGGGCAGAGAAAAATTGTCCCATGAGGTTTCAAAGACTGTACTCTTTATGGAAGCAAACTGTCACCTCTTATTCGTGTGAAGCAGCTGGTAAGTTTGAACTACCACTCTTTTGATTAACGTCCCAGTGCTTTAACTGATGTACAACCAGGGCTCCTTGATTTATCTATATACCTTTACTCTTTATGGAAGCAAACTGTCACCTCTTATTTATGTGAAGCAGCTGGTAAGTTTGAACTACCACTCTTTTGATTAACGTCCCAGTGCTTTAACTGATGTACAACCAGGGCTCCTTGATTTATCTATATACCTTTAAATTATTTCCATTTAGAAGACATAGTTTATTATTTAATGTTTTGGTATACTCAGTGTATTTCTATTACCACCCAATAACTGCACAATATACTTCAGCTTAATGATTAAGTTATGAGCAGAGTTAGTTATTTTTACATAAATGCATGTAACCTGAAAAATCATTTTTTCATTTTTACTTTTTTTTTTACAGAAATGAGGCTCTTAAACTCATATGCAACTCACTTTTTGTTTTAGCATAAATTATAACTTACAAATAGTTTCCAACACCTCAGTGGAATGGAATTTTGGAAAGCATTTTTCAAGGGTGTTACACTTGTGGCATTTTATGCTACATTGGGATGTTTATTCATGTCTTGCTTTGTGAGTCATTTAACAGATCAAAAAAATAAGAAAACATTGTACAGGCAAACAGTGGTCTAAAAATCTACAGAGATACAACTTAGTTGACATATAAAAGTGTAAATATTACTATGAAATGAAACAGTTTTACATTTGAGATTGATATTCATATTGATTGCTATTATTGACTTCAACATGAGTGCACAGTAGTCTACAGTAATCCCACAGGCTCAGGTATGGGTTAAGAGAAAGGCCATAGGCCTCAAGGCTTGTAATAGATATACGGTCTGTCTTTTTTTTTGTACCATCCATATGCCAGCACATGGAAGGAACTTTGTTCCTTTTGTTCTCACTTAAAGAGGTATATTTTTCAACAGCCTTTTGGTAGCTTCTAGAAGCTTTGGAAAAGGGGGATGTCCCATGGAAAGTGAATCCTCAAGGCATTTTTGCTCAGTGCTATCTCACTTTCTGCAGCTCTTGTCTCAGCCAGGATGGCAGAGGCTGCCCCAGCTTGTGCAGCAGCTTTGAGAGTTCCACGTTGCGATCCCGGTAATAGCTTGAGAGAAATGCTCTGCTCTGAGGTAGGAGGATACAAAAATACATTTTATTTTGTTTATAAAAAACACACCTCATACTCTTAGAAATTTTAAAACCATAACAAATATCAGATATCTCATGTCTGCATTAAAATTTGTTCTCTAAATGTCAGCTTTTTAGCACAATATAAACATAAAATGATTTTTATTTCAAAACATACACTTTTCAATGTACACATTTTTTTTCTAGGAAAACAGCTTTATCATTAAACATGTAATTTATTTGGTTACAGAATTAAGTTTTTAAATAAGCAGGCTGACTTACTAGGAATATAGTTGTAACAATTTACAGCGTCTGTTATTATGTTCTATTAAAGTCTTCCTAGTATTGGAGAGTTTGGTAAATCTAAAATATAAAACATTCCTTTGCCTACAACCAGGAGAAAATAAAAGAGATGAATGGGACATTCTAAGAATCAAATCCCTATGCACATCCAAAAACTTCTCCAACAGGTTAAAATGGGAAGCCACAGACTGGGAAAAAGTATTTGGTAATGACATGTCAGTTAAGGGACTTATGTCTAGAATTTATAAAATACTTGAGCACCACAACAAGATAAAGGTAAATAATCCAATAGAAAAGTGGGCACAAGATATGAGCAGACACTTCACCAAAGAAGACATTCAGATGGCCAACAAGCACCTGAAGAAATGTTCAGAATCCCTAGCTCTAACAGAGATGCAAATCAAAACAACTTTGAGATATCATCTCACACCAGTCAGAATAACAAAGTTTAACAGAACAGCAAGCAATAAATGCTGGCGAGGTTGTGGAGAAACTGGAACCCTTATTCACTGTTGGTGGGAGTTCAAAATGATGCAGCCACTGTGGAAGGAGGTGTGGTACTGTATCAAAAAGTTGAAAATTAGAGACACCATTTGACCCAGCAATTCCACTACTGGGAATATACCCCAAAGAGACCATAACTGCCACCCAAGCAGATATATGCACACCCATGTTTATCGCAGCTTTGGTCACAACAGCAAGGAGTTGGAAACAACCTAAGTGCCCATCAACAAATGAATGGCTAGAGAAGCTGTGGTATATTCACACAATGGAATACTACATTGCATTGAAAAACAAGGAACTCGTGCAATATTAATCAAAATGGGTGACTCTGGAGGACATTATGAGTCACAAAAGGACAAATACTGCATGGTGCCACTGCTGTAAGACAGGACTGACTTCAGGGTGTGCATGATACAGGCCACAGTCTGCAATTTCTTGCTACGCATCAGAAAGCTAGACAGTGACTATGGGTAATTGATGCCTTTGAGCAGTGGTGCTAGAGTACTGAATATATCATGGACAGTGAGGAAAAAAAACAAGTTTGTTTTAGAGGGGGCAGAATCAGGTTGCTCCTTGGAGGCAAGGATTCTGAAGCTTCATCTGGCAGATTTTGGGCATGTTGCAAGGAGGGACCAGTCCTTGGAGAGGGACATCATTCTTGAACAGGTAGAGGGACAGCATAAGAGAGGAAGACCCTCGATGAGATGGATTGATTCAGTGACTAGGGTAATGAGAATGGATGTGTCAGAGACAACAAGGTTGGCATAGGATAGAGTGGGTTTCAGAGCTATTGTACATAGGGTCACAAGTGACTTAATGACACATAACAACAACCACAACAAGATGTGTTTGAAGACATGTACAAAATACTTATTGCTAAAACAAGTTTGTGACAATATTAAAAAAAATATAAAGTAGGCAAACCAGTATCATTCTAGTATTATCTTAAATCTGCTGTATTTTAATTATTTGATGTAGCAAAAGAAAATAGTATCTTCAAACTATCTTTCTGACATATATTTTGCTGTTGTTGTTGCTGGAACTGAAACATAGCTGACTCTTCAGAGGGTTTTCAGGGGCTGTAATCACATGGGAAGAGATTGTCCATCTTTCTCCCATGGAGCACCTGGTGGATTCAAATCACCTACTTCTAGATTGGTAGTGCAACTCCTTACCGCTCGGCCACCAGAGCTCCATGACAGAGATAGGTTGTTGGTAGGTGCTGTTGAGTTGATTCAGAGTGACACTGTGAACAATGGATCTGAAATCTGTCCTGTCCTGTGCCATCCTCATTATCTTTGGCACACTTGCACCCACTACAACAGTTATTGCATCAATCCATTTGGTTGAAGGTCTTCATCTCTTTCGCTGATCCTCTACTTTTTCCAATCATGATTTTCTTCTCCAAGGAATAGCTTCTCCTAACAGTAAGTTTAAAGTATGTGAGATGAAACCTTGTCATCTTTGTTTCCTTGAAGCACTCTGGCTGTACTTATTCAAGACATATTTGCTTGTCCATGGACTATTCAGAGTTCTTCTTCAACAGCACAACTCATAGGAATCAATTATTTTTCTGTCATCTTTATTGGTTGTCCAGCTCTCATATATATAGCAAATGACTGAAAAGACCATAGCCCAAATCAGATGCACCTTAGTCCTCAAACTACATGGCTGTGGCTCAGTAATTTGGAGAGGTACCTGACTTCAGCCTTTTCCAATGCAATATGTCTCCTGATCTTCTGACTAATGGTACCAACTGTATTTATTATGCATCTAAGTAAGATGAAGTCATTGACAGTTTCAATGCCTTCTCCATCTGTCATGTTGTTGCCTATCAGTCCAGTGGTAAAGATTTCTGTTCTCTTAATATTGAACTATAATCCAAATTGAAGGCTGTAGTCTTCGATGGTCTGCTGCAACTGCTTCAAGTCCTCCTTATTTTCAGCAAGCAAGGTTGTGCCATATGCATAATGCAGGTTTTTGATGAGTCTCCCTCTGAACCTAATGGCACATTCTTCTTCATATAGCCTGGATTCTCAAATGGTTTGTTTAGCATAAAGATTCATTCATAAAGATTGAATGGGTATGGAGAGAGGATACAACTCTGAAGCACATCTTTCCCAATTTTAAATCATGTAGTTTTCCCTTGCTATGTTTGAACAACAGCCTCTTAACTGAAGTATAGATTTCTCAGGAGCACAATTAAATGTTCTGGGATTCCCACTCTTCCCAATATTACCCATGGTTTGTTATGGTCCACACAGTCAAATGCTTTTGCATAGCCAATAAAGAATAAATAGATGTTTTTGATGATAGTGTCTGCTTTCAGTCAGGATCCATCTGACATCAGCAATGATGTCCCTTGTGCCATGACCACTTCTATATCCAGCTTGAATTTCTGGCAGTTCCCTGTCAATGTACTGTTCTAGTCATTTTTGGATGATTCTGTTGGATCACCTTTCTTGGAAATGGGAACAAAAATGGATCTTTTGGCCATGATCACGGTCAGTTGGCCAGGCAGCTGTCCTCCAAAATTTCTGGGATAGACTGGTGAGTACATTCAGGTCTGCATATTACTGAAACATGTCAGTTCGTATCCCATTGATACCTGGGACCTTATTTTTTGGCAATGCATTCACTGCAGCTTGAACTTCTTCCTTCAACACCAATGAGTCTTGACCATATATACTTCTGAAAGTTTTTCAGTATCAGCCAATTGTTTTTGGTATAATGACTCTCTTTTTTTCCAGCTTGAGAAATGCTAGCACATTCTTTCCTTTTATTCCCCAGCTCCAGCTCTTTGTACATTCTGTTATGATAGTTTCCTTTGTCCTCCTGAGCTGCCTTTTGAAAGAATATGTTTAGCTCTTTTACTTCAGCTTCTCCTCCCTTTGTTTTGGCTTCTCAATGTTCTATTACAAGTTTCAGTGTCTCTTTTGACATCCATTTTGGTGTTTTCTTTTGCTTTCTTCATGGATTTTATCCTTGACGTCATCTTACAACTCATCTGGTCTTCAATAATTGGTGTTCAATGCCTCAAACCTATTCTTCAAGTGATTTTTAAATTCAAAGAGGATAGACTCAAGGTCAAATTTAAGTTCTTGTAGACTTGTTTTAATTTTCTTCAGCCACAATTTGAAATTACAGTCAACAACTGACCTTGTTTTGATGGCTGATCCTTAGTTTCTTTAATGATTTCTTCCACAGATGTAGTCAATTTCATTCCTATGCAGTCCATGAGGTGAGGTCCTGTATAAAGACGTCATATGTGGTGGTTTTTTTTAAAAAATATTTTTAAATGGAGTTACCTAAGCTCCTTAATAAGAAAGACACTCTCATCTGTTCAAGTGTGTCAGTGATGATATTGGCACAGGATAGGACACGTTTCAGATAATTGTTGATTGTTGTTGTTATGTGCTGTCGAGTCACTGTGACTCATAGCAACCCAATGTACAAAAGCCCTATACCCTGCCCTATCCTGTGCCAATCTTATTGTCTATAACACACCTACCCTAATTACACCAGTCATTGGATCAATCCCTCTTATCAAGGGTCTCTGTCTCCTGTGCTATCCCTCCATCTTTGCAAATATGACCCTCAACAAGGACTGGTCCCTCCTTACAGCGTGCCCAAAGTATGTCAGACAAAGCTTCAGAATCCTTGCCTCAAAGGAGCAGCCTGATTTCACCCTCTCTAGGAAGAACCTGTTTGGTTTTTTGTGTATGGTACATTCAATACTCTTCTCCAGAACCACAGCTCAAACGCATCAATTCTCCTTCTATCTTACTTAATCACTGTCCAGTGTTCTGATGCATAACAAATAATTGCAAAGACCATGGCCTGAATCAGAGGCACACCTTAGTCTGTAGACTGGCATCTTTGCTCTTCAGTACTTTGGAGATGTCTCTGACAGCAGACTTTCCCATTATAATTTGTCTTTTAATTTCCTGGCTGCTGGTAGCAAGAGTGTTGATTGTGGAGCTAAGCAAACTGAGGCTGTTAACAATTTCAATCTCTTCATCATCTATGATGATGCTGCCCATCGGCCCAGTGGTTAGAATTTTCGTTTTCATGATGTTGAGCTTCAATCCATATTTAAGGTTGCAGTCCTTAACTTTCTGCAGCATAATGTCACTATAAACTATTTGATGACACCTAACAACATCTATAAAACTAAATTCTAACCACTTCAGAACTCAGCTATTTAAGTTTGTGAGCTTGCCTTTGCTTAATATCTGTTTTTGGTTTCCCTCAGTCATTCTTAAACGATAGGTGTAGCTAACTAATTATACTCAGACCTGAGAAATTTATTATTTATCATAAACCAAATGTAGTAACTTATTACTCAGTGCCTCCTTACTGCCAGCCAGCCCTGAAATCCAGGTTCTAGGTGGTTTTGTAGTACCTACATTTCTGAGGGAAACTTTGTGCCATAACATGCATGCAATGTGTATTTACTTTGGATTCTTCAGTTTCATTTATAGTCAAGTCTCCATTTCTTCTTCTTCTGTTCTCTCCTGGTAATAAAACTGCTCTGAGACTTGCAGAGTAGAATACATCCTATCTGAGAGTTGTCTACGCTCATGCTGAAAATCACTCAGTGATTTACAAAACCTATTGTGCATTCACTCTTATTTGATGATTATTCACAAGGGAGACTATTTTAGATTGTAATTTTACAGATAGAAGTGCCACTGTTGTAAAATGGGACTGACATAGGGGAGACTGAGAAAGATGGGATAAATTATGTACACTGCATTGAAACAGATGAGGGAGAGAGAACTGTTTAAAAGGTATATATGATTAGGTATTATTGTCATGACATGAGCCCAGAACGAAGGCGGCACAGTGGAGTGGACTTGGGAGGAGGGGTTGTATAACAATGAAAGAATTTTTCTTTTACTTTTCAAAGAGAAGAATAAATTAGAGTGGAGGGGTGAGCAGGGAGGAGTGCAACAGTTAATGAATGGAAATCCAAACTATCTGTAAATGTTCATTAAAATGAATAATAATACAAATGAAGGAGTTTGTCTTTTGCTTTTCAAGGAGAGGAGCGAACTGGGGGTGGAGCTGGGGGTGGGGTGAGTGGGTAGAAAAGTACAACAATGAATAAATGGAATTCCAAAATCTCTGTAGATGTTCATTGAAATTAGTAATAATCATAATAATAAAAGGAAAAAAAGTAATAATAATAATTAAAAAAATAAAAGAATAAAAAGAAGATATACCAAAGTCAATTACCTTCCTAGTCCATGATATTCATGTAGAGAATGAAATTACAAGTAATAATAATAATAATAATAATAATTTTGAGAACTATAAAATGCATGGAAATACTTTACTTATATAATAAATAACAAGGAATCAACAGTAAATTCTATATCAGGTTGTTTATTGGTCTATTATTTATTGGCCTAACAATAAATAATATTTACTGATCTAAACAAGAAAGAATTTACTTTTTATTTGGAGAAATAAATTTGGTATTTAAAATTTCTTGATGTTTTAATAAAAAATTGAGGAGGTGAACTGACATTTTTCTGTATGAGAAGGAAATACCATAGTGCCAATACTGACAGCTTGAACCTATCACTTATGTGTATGTATCTTATCTATGATGGGAGCTCTAAATGCTCCTTTATCATACCTCTTCTGTGGACACTATTTGCACAGAATTATTCACTTTTCTCTCACAAAGAACTCAACGTATATTTCATGGTAGTCATATATTGGGAGTCTAAGGAGCTGCACTCCAACCCACAGGTAGGTGTTTCATATCCATCAGCTGCTCTTCAGGATAAAGATGGGGAGCCTTGTCCTGTGTGATTAACTGCTTCTGAAAACTTGCTGGAGGGTCAGCTATAGTCCAACTCCAAATCAATGGTACATAACAACCACCACCACCACCATCACAGATAGAGATACATAAAAAGTGAAAGGTTATACATAATTTTCTTGTCTTTATCCACCACCAAATTTTGTATTGTATTCCAGTATAGCTATGTTATACAGAAATAAAACTAAAACATAATTCTAAGGAACATTTTATGCTATATTTTAAATATTTTCATTTCCATAAAGATGTAGGAAAATAGTTTATCCATACATAAAAATGATATATTTTCCATCACTTTCTCTGTTTTCATAGTACTCTGAAGGCATATTTTAATAATTAACTGAAGAAACCTAGAGTTCTGACAATGCAGTTATTATATCAAAACAGTAACAAAAACCTTCCACAATGGTTTTTAGATGGAATTTAATTATGAGTTTATTTTGGTGGGACACTAAGCTCATCAAGCTGTCTCCTCACTAGTGGCACTAAGAAAGTCTTCAAAGTCTTAGTAGTTCAAAGCAATCAAGAAAAAGTAATCAATAAAGTGCAGATCACTAAAGGATTCACAGTCAACATAAGGTATTAAACAAGTGGGGGAAAATTACAAACAGTGTTTTAATTTCTGAGTTTAAATTTTTAAAAAGAAACCTTAATCTACTTATATTTTCATA